AGGGTCTTAAACCAGAAATCTTAAAATGCTAGTGCTGCTTTAAAACACTGCTCAAAGTTTTGATCATAACTAGCTTTATCATGCAGTTTCCTTGAAAGTGGTTCCAGTTAGATTTATAGCTGTCCAGTGGCATTGTAATTAGAATGGATTCCAACAGTTAGCCCAGGATGGGATATTAGGATCAGACTTTGAGCAGTGCCAAACTACTGACCAACTACTGAGATTTCAGATATCCGTGTCATGAGATGACACACCTTTAATCCATTTTCTAACCTGCTGAGCTGTGTTTAAGAAGGCTGGGGAAGTGGATTTCACACCAAGACACATCTGCCCCTTTTAAAGTCTGCCTTATCACTATGACATATATGGCATCAGGTGCAATATGCCTGACATCCGTAGTACATAAGAAAGTAAAGTTTGTTGTGTTCATGTCATCCACCTGATTCTGGTAGAAATCAGATAGCCAAAGCTGGCTGTTTTCCATGAGACAAAATAGAATGCTGTCCTCAATAAAAACCCTTTCAATGTAAAAATGTGGGTGTTTGGGGGTTTTGTCAAGGAACATATTTATTTTACACAACACTAAATCAACTGCTCTAGCTTCATATTTTCACCCATTTCTTTCAGCGTGGAATTCTTTTTCAAAATGAACAGAGCTCTGGGTAGCAGAAAGTGCTTTCCTTGAGAAATCCAAGATTCCTGCAACATTTTCATAGTGAATGTGAGTTTATAGATGAACCAAGATTGACCTGACTTGATAATACTCTTCTATGAGTATATCACTGTAGGGATTAATTGCGGCAGAACTTTGTGGGCTCGTCTACACTGGCCCCTTTTCCAAAAGGGGCATGTTAATTTCACAGGTCGTAATAGGGAAATCCGCGGGGGATTTAAATATCCCCCGCGGCATTTAAATAAAAATGTCCGCCGCTTTTTTCCGGCTTTTAGAAAAGCCGGAAAAGAACGTCTACACTGGCCCCGATCCTCCGGAAAAAAGCCCTTTGAAGTAGGAATAAGAGATCCTCCGGAAAAGGGCTTTTTTCCGGAGGATCGGGGCCAGTATAGACGTTCTTTTCCGGCTTTTCTAAAAGCCAGAAAAAAGTGGCGGACATTTTTATTTAAATGCCGCGGGGGATATTTAAATCCCCCGCGGATTTCCCTATTACAACCTGCGAAATTAACATGCCCCTTTCGGAAAAGGGGCCAGTGTAGACATAGCCTGTATGTGCAAGTTTAGGGCTGGTGAGGCCTGCATTCTTTCCCCCCTTTCCCTATATCTGATGAGCCAGAAGCAAGTCTTTGCTAAGAAATTTAAGACATTTAAGATAAGCATTGTTGCCAGTATAGCAAGAACAAGTATAAGATAAGGGTAAAAGGCAAGAACACATAAACAATTCTGTTTACCTTAATGTACTGATCATGTAAACAAGGCCAAAGAACAACAAGAACTAGATCAGAACCCGATCAATAACTAACAGCTGAGCCCTACATTAGCAAGTAATGAGTAACCCCATGAAATTTCCAAACTGCAAAACACGGCAAGAGAACTGTATTTAAGGCTTCACCAAAGCACAGAAATTTGGACTTCACTGATGGGCTTTGGGTACTGGCACCCTGGAAGCTAAGACAACCTCCCACTTCTTCTGCAGCCGACTTGGGATCCCCAGCTAGCAGGAAGGGATGTAAGATATGCTGCTTCTTTGTTATGTTGCCCTTTTAGTTAAGGGGTGCAGCTGTTAGCTGTCAGGAAATAAACTACTTGTGTTTGACAGATACCTGTGTAGCATCCTATGTACTTTGAGAACCTAGTGTCGGACCTTAGACTTACTCTTGCCGACAACAATCACACAGACATAATTGTTTTACCCTTAGTCACCAGGCTTATAAAGACAGGAGCCAGCAAACAGAGTTGAAATCAGGGATGTCTGAGTGAATGTTTGTAACAGGGTGAGTAGCGTAATTGTTGTGGGTTTGTATTCGTGTGTGTTTGTGTGTGCTGACAGGAGCTTAGGAAAGAAGGCTATGACAGCTACAGGAGTTGCAGAGGCAGTGATCCAAAGAATGGAAGAGATGAAAATTGCTGAATGTACATGTAAGTATATTCGAAGGAGGGTACCTGTTAGGCAGGCCCTCCTAGGCTGTGTCCAGACTCAGGGTTTTTTTCGGGAAAAGTAGCCTTTTTCCGAAAAAACTTCCCCTGCGTCCAGACTCAAGCCGCGTTCTTTCGAAATTAAATCGAAAGAATGCGGCTTTTCTTTCGATGGCGGTAAACCTCATTTCACGAGGAAGAACGCCTTCTTTCGAAAGTTCCTCTTTCGAAAGAAGGCGTTCTTCAATGTAAATAGGGCTTCTTCGAAAGAGAGCATCCAGACTCACTGGATGCTTTCTTTCGAAAAAGCAAGCCGCTTTTTCGAAAGTTCAACGTGCAGTCTAGGCGCTCTCTTTCGAAAGAGGCTTGCAGTCTAGACATAGCTTTAGAGAATGATGGAGGCCCAGGCCACTTTGAGTTTAGAAGCCCCAGCCCAAGCCCTAGGACTCCAACATACCTAACTTCTCATCCACAGGGTCATACTAAAACCAAAAGAATATATGAAAATGAACACTTGAAACATTTTATTTATTAACAAAGTCGTTATACCAATAGCATGTATATTACAAATGTAACTTTAATTGTGAGTTTCCACTGCAATCAAAACTCTGCATTTTAGGAATGCTTTTCTGGCTTTATGTGCAAAATCATTTATAATTGAAGAAAAATCTAATTTATGTGCAATATCACTGTTAATGTTAAGCACTGTGAGCCCATTCAAATGCTCTTGTCCCATTATAGAACTATGATAGTTCTTTACTTGTTTTAACACTTAGGAAATACAATCGACAGGCCAAGATTATATTTTCTTGAAGCAGTTCTTTTGGTTTGCAGTCTGATTTAAAGTTGGTGAAACATGATTTAAAGTTTCAGGAAGATGACCTTGTCATAGAGATCTCTTGAAATTTTGTTGTTATACCTTTGTTGAAACTGTTCAGCCACTAAATATAGAACTTTATCACTTAGTTCTCTGAACTCCTAAAGGAATCCATAAAGGGTACAAGTTTGTCTTAGTGACTCAAATTGACATGTAAAACCAGATTTGATGGAATCAATAATAACACAAAAAAATCCCATATTGATTCAATAGTGCCTTTGTGCATCAAATTGAGATGTTAGGCTGCGTTTGGTGGAAAACTCAGATGAAATGTCACTGCCCTGTGATACTGATTTGGACTCAGAAAGGATTGCGTCCCATTGATTACAGTATTATTTTTTAATATCTTTAAAAAGTCATACAAAGTTATCCTCTCAACATCTAACATAGCATTGAATGCTTCAATTGCAAGATTGATTTTGTGGATCATTTTTTGCATCTTCATCCATATGGATGACGTTAAAATACATTCAAATTTGGATGTATATTTTTGAATTGACCTATGTTCAGTGTGAGTCTGTGTTGTGAGAGTAAGGGTATGTCTACACTAGCCCCCTAGTTCGAACTAGGGAGGCTAATGTAGGCATTCAAAGCCCCTAAATTGAACTAACTGTTAAACCACCTTGAAGGAGGAATAATAGGTAGTTCGATTTAGGGCTTTAATTTGAAATACCGGGTCCCTGCCGCGCGTAGACACGGGCAGTTAGTCTGGACTTGTAAATTTCAAAAAATGGTGACGAGCCAGGAAGATGCAGGGAAGCTGCAAATCAAGTGCAGGATATTTAAATCCCACGCTTGATTTGCAACTTCGAATGCCTACATTAGCCTCCCTAGTTTGAACTATGGGGCTAGTGTAGACATACCCTAAGAGATTCAAAATCACTTAAAGCCTTTCTCAGAGAGTCCAAATGTTGTGCAACTGGTTTAATACCATCAATTTATGCTGACCATTTTGTTGTTGACTTGCCATGAAGGGAAACAAGCAGATGCTGCTTCAGAATTGCCCACTTTTGAGGACTGCTACTGAAGTGGTTATGTAATTGCTGGATTGTCCCAAAGTATGTGATTACTTCCTTGCATGAGTCAGTGCAATCAATGCTGACAAGATTAGAATGTGGTTGCCACAACTGGAGAAAATACAGATTGGATTTTGCTCCAGAAGGATTGCTTGTACTCCATTGTACTTCACAGACATATTGGATCGTCAGTGCAATCAATGCTGACAAGATTAGAATGTGGTTGCCACAACTGGAGAAAATACAGATTGGATTTTGCTCCAGAAGGATTGCTTGTACTCCATTGTACTTCACAGACATATTGGATCCATTGTCATAGGCTTGGCCAATGCAGACTTGAAAATTTAATTTGAAACTTTCCAGAATTTCTGATACATGAGTGACAGTTTCTTTCTTAGTTTTTTTCCGAACAAAATGAATCATTCTTTAATTGAAGCCTTTGATCTTCCTGCAATTTTAACATATTGAACAACCAATGTCATCTGTTCTTTATGAGAACAGTCTGGAGTTGTATCAATAATAATTGAAAAGTACTTTTCATGTTGTATCTCTTCAAGAATTGTTGTTTGCACAAATGTCCCACACAGATCAATAAACTCAGTTTGTATTCTGGTAGACAGATAATGTGCTTGGACTTGCATGCATTTTTGCTCTCTTGCGATTCATGAACACACTTAACATGGCCTGATAATAGTGGGTCATATTGGTAAGATGCTCAAGTACACCAAGAAAGTTTCAATTTGTAGGGTCACTGATATGTTGACTAGAACCAAATAAAGCCAATACCCATTCAGAAAGAAAAAGAATGACGTTCAATATACTCTCAGGGAGTTTTTTCCAGTGATCAGTTTATTTCACTCAACAGTCAGTTTTCAATTGAACTGTTAGATAATGCTGCTCTACTAGCTGATTTTCATGTAACATAGTTATCTTCATGTGATACTCAAGTTTCATGTGCAGCATTCAGTCTTTCAATTTCCTTCAACCTCTACTGATGCTCCAACTGGACGGACCTGACAGTACTGATGCATTTGAAGTATTACTATTAAAAATGAAACAGGGTACATATACAGTACAGAGCCTGCTTTTCCATGCTCCAGCAAAGCCAGTATCTTGTGCAGATCTCTCCACTTGGAAGAGGTTTTATCAGCAGATAAGTGGGAAAAACATGATTTTCATCATTTGGTATATTACTTGGAATCTGAAAAAAACTAATTCTGAGAAATGACTGCATTTGAGCAACATTGTTCTCATCAAGAAGTCCAATATCAAGTTCTGATGCCACTGTTGTTACACTGTGTTCTGTGCTAGTCATAAGCTCTTGCTCTTGCTGCATGGCATCTCCAAGGTCTTCATTTTCTTTCTGCGCAGTCTCTAAATTGAGTGTAGATTCTGTATCCATTGCTACTGTTGGCATTTCTGTGTCTTCATTAATGACCTTCTCATTTTGGGGCAGTGGCATTGAAATGTCATTTGTGGGTAGAAAGTTTTCATCATCAGAACTAGAAGTGTCACTGTCAGAATGATCACTGTCTAGTGGCTGAGGCATCTTTTCTATGAGAAATGATGTTATTGCCTTTAAACTCTTAACCGCTGCTTCACTCAGTTGCTTTTGCTGTCTCTTATTATTTGCATCACTTTCAAATCTTCGCAAGGGGTTCTTTTAAAACACAGTAACACACAATAAATTAATTCAGTAATGGCTATTGGTTATACAAAATGTTAATTGTATATACTTCAAAATGAATATTATATAATAACGGTTTAGTGGAGTTATTTACTATGCCCTTATAGTCTTATTTCAAAGTTTTGAAATTTCGTCTGCTAACATGTTCCCATTATTAAATTCCTCTAACTGGTGTGTTATTATGAATATGAACATGGGATGATTGCCAGATTAGATATAAAGTTTATTAAACAACTAGAATTTAAAATTTATTATCACAAAAAAGCCTTTAAAGGTGAATCTAAAACTGAACTAAGAGGTAGCTTACAGCTGAGCCTGATAAGGTTATTGTATACAAAGACACATATGAAAAATCAGGAATATGAAAATCTCCTATGTAGAGATAAACATATAATTTAAAGGTTAAACTCACCCTCAGACCAAGCAAAATCACTTTACAGTAACATAATTACAACTTTCAAAACCTCTAAATTATTTCATAACATTTAATAATATAGAATCACTAATCACAGAAGCTACTCCAGTCTCCAGTCACACAGATGAAAACTTGGATGTAACCAAAAAATTGGCGAAGGCCTAAGGTCCCACAATGATTTAAATCAATGTTTTACAGGTATATGTAGATTCTTTTGTTGCCTCTGTTATAACTGCAAGTTGTATAATAAATGGAAATGACTTGGTAGAAAAATCCTGAGGCGCAGGCCAAATGGCCCTCCTGACCCCACCTCCCATCCTCTAATACGGCCTGTGAGGCACTTTGTATGAAGTGTCACCTTTTAAATCTGATGGAAGAGAAGACCTGCAGTTTGGAAATGCAGGTAGAGACTATGATTGAGTTTTGAAAAAGATTTGACGGAGGGAAGGAGAGAGGATGCTGGTGGGAAACATCAAGAATTACAGATAGACCCTGATAGACATTAGGCAAGAGAACTAAAGGTTGTATATGAGTGACGTGCCAAGTGAAAGTATTACTACAAGAATGAGGCAGCATCACAGGAGGGGTGAAATAGAGCTAAGGAATGCAGAATTGGAACATAAGAACATAAGAAGGGCCATACTGGTTAGACTAAAGGTCCATCTAGCCCAGTAGCCTGTCTGCAAACAGTGGCCAATGCCAGATGCCCCAGAGAGAGTGAACAGAACAGGTAATCATCATGGGATTCCTCTCCTGTCATCCATTTCCAGTCTCTGACAAGCAGAGGCTAGGGACACCATTCCTACCTATTCTGGGTAATAGCCATTGATGGACCTACCCTCCATGAATTTATTGAGCTCTTTTTTGAACCCTGTTAAACTCCTGCTCTTCACAACATCCTCTGTCAAGGAGTTCCACAGATTAACTGTGTGCTGCATGAAGAAAAACTTCTTTTGTTTGTTTTAAGCCTACTACCTTTTAATTTAATTTGGTGACTCTTAGTTCTTATGTTATGGGAACAAGTAAAATATTTTTTCTTTATTCACTTTTTCCACTTCAATTATGATTTTATAGACATCTATCATATCCCCCCTTATTCTCATCTTTTGTAAGATGAAAAGTCACAGTCTTTTTAATCTCTCTTCATATGGGCCCTGTTCCAAACCCCTAATAATTTTTGTTGTCCTTTTCTGAACCTTTTCCAATGCCAATATATCTTTTTTGAGATGAGGTGACCACATCTGTACGCAGTATTCAAGATGAGGGCGTATCATGGATTTATATAGAGGCAATAAGATATTCTAGAGATCCTGGGAAATTTTTGCCTTCCTCTGCAGGGTAGAGTGTGGATCAAATTTTGATTAGAACTAGAGTAAATGGTGGAATCTCCATAACATGATGGTTTGAGGTGTTCTATAATAAAATTGTATCCTCTCTCCAAGTTATTGGAGTGGATGTGAGGTTCTGTTGTCTGTGATGAGCATGAGATCACACTACATGATCAGTATGGCTCTGTTGCAAGGATGGGCCATAGTGAAGATGCAACTTCAGGGCAGAGTGAAAGAAGTAGGGAGACAATCCTCAAAACTAATGTTTTAATCTATAATTAGACTCAATAAGCCAGTAACAAAGGCACTTTTGGAGTACCACACTGATGAAAGCACAGCCCTTTTAGGCATTCCAGGCCTTTGCTACAATCTAGACAATCAAGTCTAATGTAGTGAGATGTAATTAAAACTCCATTCACTGTAAATCAAGTTCTTCCAATTAGACACATTTCTCCCCAGGTTAATAAATATTTCAGATCTTACCCAATGCATGCTTACAGCCAATCTTTAATGACTAAATCTAAAAATTATTAATGAAAGGAAAAAATAAGAATGATCAATGATTAAAAATCAGTATATATACAAATGGTTCTCAAATATTCATAGGACACAGAGTGCTATTGTTAGGATTTATGAGGCCCTATGCAGTATTATTAAACTGGTGTACCTGTGCCGGACTTGCTCTTAGCAACATAAACATAAGCATAAACATAGTTCCCCAAAGCGACCCCTCCCCCCGTACCTTCTCCTCATCCAGAATACGCTGTGCTGGTGCATTTGGTTCTGTCAATATGGCCCTACCTAAGGAGATTGCGGCATGGGCTGGATGCACGGGAGCCAACCTGCTATTACCTGCAGTCCCGGTGTCAGGGTCAGATTAACTCTCCGGTGGGCCTGGGGCTATTAGATTTTATGGGATCCCTGTATGCATGTCTTTTTTCCTAATTTAACACAAAATGATCACTTGTGGAAGGGAGAGGTGGAGGGGCTTAGGACTTCTCCTCAGCTCTGAGGTGGGGCCAAAAATGAGGGATTCAGAGTGTGGGAGGAGGCTCCAGGCTGGGGCAGAGGTTTGAGCTGTGGAAGGTGGGGAAGACTTCGACTGGGGCTTCAGGGCCTGGGGGGGAGGAATGTAGGGGGGTCCCCAATGCTGAGAATAAGGGGTTTGGAGTGCTGGAGGGGGCTGAGGGCAAGATGTTGGGGTGGAGTGGGGTCTGGAGTGGGCTCAGGGTTTGGGGAGGGGTTAGGTTGTGGGGTAAGGGGCAGAGTTAAGGTGAGTGGGGTGACTCAGGACTGAGTCTGGGAACTGGGGTGCCCGAGCACTTACTTCAGGCCACTCAAGTTTGATGGTGCCACAGGACTGAGGCAGGTTTCCTGTTAGCCCTGGTCCCATTCCACTCCTAGAATCTGCCAGCATGTCTCTGTAGGCCTAGGGAGGAAAGTGGTTCCACGTGCTGCCCTCACTTGCAGACACCATCCATGCAGCTCCCATTGGTCACCATGCAAGGAACGGGCAAGTTCTGTCCCTCTCCATCCCAGCAGGGACTCACCACTAGAAGCTCCCTGCTGGGGCAGTTCCAGCAACAAGGGTGGACCCATGTCCACAAGCCTCTTCCAGCTGCAGGAACCTTTGGTGCTGCTGCCCAGCACCAGAGCTTCCTGAACAGGGAGAGACACTCAGAGGTGGGTCTGATCTCCCGGAGAGCAGCTGTGCAGTGGAAGTAAAAGTCCTTTCCCTCCCCAGCCTGGCAGGGACTTGCAGCTAGGACTCCTTCCTGCACAGGCACTCCCAGCAGGAAGAGGGAGATTTCATAGACAAAGGCTTATTTCATGGTCCATGATACGTTTTTTGTGACCATGAATTTGGTAGGAATCTGACTTTGATCAACACCAGACACCTCAGAGGAAAGCAAGCAGAAGTAAAATAATCTGTAGCCAATTCTCCTAAATCTTTGTAATTACATCTTGACTTTAACTCTGAAATTTGAGGTTTAATATCTATTCCAAACTTAAGTTACATAACAGTGACTGTAAATGCTAACAATCTAAAACAATGCCCATCCCCTTTTCAAATCTTGCAAAATTCTTGGCTTCAATAACATCCTGTGTCATTGAGTTCCACAATTACCAGTTTTTAATTGTCCCCTTTTAATTTTATTGACTGTTGTATATGATCAACTATGGCTTATTGCCAACACCGTATGACTATATGTGGAGGTGGACACATTAAAAATGACAAGCAAAACTTACACATGCAAGTGTAGTCAAGGTAATGATAATACTATGTGACCCAAAACAGGTTAGGTAGCCTATTCTCACTTAGGCTACATCTACACAGCAGCGTTATTTCAGAATAACTTATTCTGAAATAACAAAGTGTGTGTCTACACAGCAAGCCATTACTACGAAATAATGGTGAGCTGAAGGACTTCTTATTCTGACTCCTGTAACCCTCATTTCACAAGGAGCAAAGGAAGTTGAAGGAAGACATGCCCTTAGGGTGCCTCTGGGACACTTCTGACTGGGAACTGTGCACTCGGATATATGTGTTGTGCAGTTTGACTGTTGAAACTCGTTCCTATTGTTAGACCAAGATTTCTGAAAATCTTTCCTCTTTGACCGTAACCAAAATAATATTCACAAAAACTTCTCAACTTCTCCTTCCTCTTTCTCCTTTCCATCCTCAAAACAAATAAAAATAAAAATTAATGCTATCTCAAGCAGCGATTCCTAAAACTCTAAACTGGGGAAGAGCTAGAAAATCTATAGAGTACCCTAGTCAATTTACTATTGCTAATAAATTTGATGTAGAATTAACACAGATGTTATGGTGATGGACACCAGTAGTAGATCATAAAAATAGAAACATGCAGGAAGAGAACAGATTGACATAATTAGGAATGCACATATGCTGAGATTGCCAGTATTGTAGCTGACCACTGAAAAGTCTAACACACTGCCTAAGCTGTTTTATCACAGATAATAGCAAAATGGTGCCCACAGATAAAGGAAAGCTGAAATACACAGAGGACATCAAGGGAATAAATGAATGGATGACTTAGGGTATGTCTACAAAGCAACATTATTTCAAAAAAAACTTAGTCCGTATCTACACAGCAGGCAGTTATTTAAAAGTAATGTTGAAATACTGTCAAGCTGGAGGACTCCTGTAGTTGGCCAGAGTAAGTCTAAGGTCTGACACTGGGTTCCCAAAGTACAAAGGACGCTAT